GATTTGTCATCTAATATACCTTGCTCTGATTCCATACCTTGTTTGGGTTTTATGGGATAGGCAAATGGAATGTAGAATTTTCCTTTAGGCATCCTCTGAAAGATAAGTCCCTGGGGCCATGTCTCCTTCCTTTCTGTCATTCATTTCAAAATTGTGCTTGAAATTAAGACTTTAAAAGTACTTTGAATATCCATGGGAGTGGTGACCCATTCCAGCAACATTGTTCCCAAAAGTTGTCACATCTCCAGAGGTATAATTATCGTTACATGGCTCATTAGTGGTGATAGTCTCCTCAACACAGCAAAGCCTAAGATAATAGATTTTAATGCTCCATACCACCCTACTCCCAAAGGCAAGGAATAAGGCACTCTCTGTATCAAGAATGAGAATGTAGCCAAGGAATGATGGCTAAAATGCATTTACTCTGGCTAAAGCAGCTACCTCTTGTAGCTAGTGCAAAGCTAATTGAATAACATGGGTATCTACAAGTTAAACACTGGAGTTAATAGTAGACCCATTCTCCTGTACTACAGTAAAAGATGGGATCTGACCTCAGGAAATATCAGGGAGCTATATAATCTCTGTTTGCATAGAATTGCATGTTACTTCCTTTCTGTATTCTAGTAAACTAGAGAAGTAGATACCTGTAGCACCCTTAAATGATTCTGTTTGGCCAGGGAAAGATGGGTGTCATAGACTTCATATGGAAGCCCCAGAAGCTACTCCTTGCATCCAAAGAGGCAAGGACACACAGAACCTGCTGTGATGCCTTATGCAATCTTTATCACTGCTAGAGACTTTGTACCCACTTATTTTGATAGACATCCCTTTAATTTTGGGGTATAGTGTTTCTCAATGGCCAATGAAAGTTAGATAAATGCTTATAAAATTCCCCTTACAGTCTATGGACTTATTTTATGGGGACAATACTAGTGAGATAAAAATATTTTTTATCTATTCATAATTTGAATGCCTGCATATATCCAAGTATGAAGACATCACTAAGTTTGTTCATGAACACCTTTAATCCAAGCTCTTGGGAAGCTAAAACAGGATTATCAAGACTTTGAGGCCTACCTATAACACAGTAGTTAAGCTCCAACCAATCTTCCTATTAGTACCTTATTTCAGTATTTTAAATGGAACTAACAAAATTTATAGCATAGATGGGTTAGATGATCTCCAAAACCCATGAGGCATCTTACTGTGGAGCTACAGTCAAAAATATCTTGAATAGTAAGAATCATCATTTTTTGAGGGTGTATCCATTTTTTGGTTTCCCTTGGGCCAGTGGATGTCACTATATATATATATATATATATATATATATATATATATATATCAATCATCAGATATATTGGCTTATCAAAATTAAAATACCATGAGTTGGGTTGAGGGCATACTGGAGGTGATTTGTAGGAATCTAATCATAGGTGATGTGAACTTACATGATACTGTATTCCATTGCATACTTATATAATATTCTTTTAAAATATTGCTTCAGTAGTAGTGATACCATTACTTTTTGTTTATTAAACCTACTCTTAAAATTATAATGTTATGCAGTAAAAGATATTCAGATTTGGAAGTAAGTTGTATGCATTACAGGCAACAGTGTTGAGCACTATTGAAGAAATGAATTCAATGTGAAAAAAGAAACTGATAGTTATATTCCTTATCTTTCTTAGGTAAATTATCAAACATGCTTTAGCAAGGATAATCCCATTAAGTTGAATTACTTTGTAAAGGAAATTTAGCAATGCAGTTGCTTCAAAGAAGCAATTTGAGAAAAACTGTGACTGAGAATTTGTGATTATGCTATTGGTAAAAAGCTGTGATAAAGAGTGAAATGCTCCAATTTCCTCTAATCAGTATTTTCACTGCCGTCGACCACAGCTGTTTGGGAAATGTGAATCCTTCTGACAATTAGACGGAAAAGGAAGCATTATCAAGTCTTTTTCACTATATATCTAATATACTTATGGGTTTAATCAAATTATGAATTCTAGTGATGATGTTTATTGATAAGGCTAAGGGTTCCACGTTAAGGGCTCTACTAACAACATATATTAACTGCCAAAGCCTAGTTTCTAAAACCATGGCACTGTGGGTTAATGTTTTAACATTAAAGATGCAGGGGATGACACACTAAGTATAGGAAATACATCAGAAATGCACATTTCCTCTAATACTTGTTATCACATTTCTCGAGAATATTGGCATATTCTAATTTTCAGCTCTTCTAGAAAAAATTGGATAAGCTCATATCATTTTAATGTGAGGTGGCATCTACATTTTCCAGGATGTTTTAATTGTCTACCATCTATGCCTCTATTTGATCATCAGTGTAGCTTGCAATATATACATCTAATGTCTCCATTTGTAAATTTTTCTGTTTGAGACAAACCATTTATAGTTTGACGTGGATAGTCCAATATTATCATTTTTATGAGGATAATTATTTTATTCAATATTATGCTGTTTTATTAAGTTTTTGAAAATTTTATATGTAATTTGTTTTTATCATCTTCCTTATTCTATCTTTTTTCCATGCTTCCCACTCTCTCTGAAATATTTTTTGCTGTAACAAACACATATGATTACAAAGGAACATACATAAATGAAAGTTTCTGAGTCCATTCAACATTTCTTATGTGTGATATTTTAACACTAAACACTTGATTTAAATAAGCAAATAAGGGTTCATCTCTGAGGAAGACTGGTTTTCACTCTCTCTGAAGGTCATCAGTTGCTTGTAGCTATTCATCCGAGGGTTGTGTCCTGTGAGATTTCCCCCATACATGCTGGTATATCAATTAGTGTTGTCACTGTTCTGCTGTTTTTAAGTAATCACACCTCTGAAATCATGGCTGGCACTTCCCTGTCGTGAATTGAGGTCACGATTTTACAACAGATGTCATTGTTTTGAGAATCAAATTTAAAATATAATATAAAAAGGAGCTGACTAATTGTTTCAATTGCTAATGCAAACATGGAGACTTGAGTTCAATCTCTAGAAGCAAAGTAAGACATCAAGGTAAGATAGACCGAACCTGTAATCAACTAGGGCACATACACAAAGACAAAACTATGGAACTCATTTCCAAGATAGCCTTCCCTACTAGGTGAACTCTAGGCTATCACATGATAGTAACCCACAAAAATCAATGGGTATTACTTGAGAAATGATATGTAATACTCTTTTCAATTATCCAAAACACATAGAGATGGGTGCCCAGGCACATAATATGTATAAATTCTTACATATGTACATACATCCATATAAATGGTTTAATTTGATATTAAGGGACATATGATATGTTTAGGATAATTCTATTAGAATGTATGTGTTAACATCAGATAGTAAGCATGAAAATTAAATGTTATGTACCACTCTTTTCACTTGGTAACTGGCCATTTAACTTTATGGATAAAATACATGCTGATTTATTGCTTCCCTACAAATTAATCCTACTTGATCAGACAGAACTATCCTATCTTCATGCTATAGAATCACGTTTCTTTTCTATTATGTTTTCTAACTGCACTGATTAGATATGTTTACATAACCTCTACATTTTTATACCCTTTCTTTGGTTTTATATCAGAATAATGTTAGCCACATAGCATTCAATACTCTCCATGTATTTGAGGATTTTGAATATTGCTTTGATGAATGTCATTTTAATTCACTATTTCTTTGTGGATTTCCCTACCCCATATGGTCTTTGGCCTGCAGACAGTGATATTTTTAGGTCAATATTATGTTAAATTCATAGGAATAATGACATGTATGCATATTGAAAATTCAGTAGCTGCTGGGCAGTGGTAGTGCATGCCTTGAATCCCAGCACTCTGAAGCTAGAGGCAGGCACCTCTCTGAGTTCCAGGCCAGCATGGTCTAAAGAGCAATTTCCAGGACAGATAGGACTATTATAAAGGGAACATTTGTCTCAGAAGCCAAAAATAAAACAAAACACAGGAGTTTATCTAGATGTATGTTTGCTTGTGTGAATGCTTAACATGAATATAACTTACTATAGCATAGACGTAAATAGAAGATCTGGAGAGTCAGTTTTGCCATTGAAAGCAACTACTGCTGACAAAAGGGCTGAAATCCATTTCGTAGCTGCATGTCAGTGTTCTCATAAGTACATATAATCCAGCTCTGGGAGGAAGTAAAGGCTCTAAACTATAATCACAACTCCACATGTAAATTTACTTACACAAACACATAAACACACACACACTTAGGGAAACACACATGCATATAATTTTAAATAATAAAATTGCTATTTATTAGTATAATAATTACTATATATGTTGATGGCACATGCCTGTACTTTCAGTACTCAAGAGGCAGAAGCTGGTGTATCTGCTTGAGATAATCCCCAGATTTGTCTACAAACTATGTTCCAAGACCAGCAATGGCTAACAGTGTGATTCTGTCTTAAAAATAGATAAGGAAACATGAAATCTATATCATAGTAGGTTTAAGTCACTAAGAAATTATGTCACTGAAAGAAGACCCAACTCTTGTATGAAAACAACAATTATTATGTCCAACGATAAGAATTACATGTTGTCTGAAAACACTTGAAATTTTAAAAATAAGGAGTAAGTTAAACCGGTTTAATTCAGAATGTTCTCTAATGTCACAAGTTTTAATTGTTAGTGATTTCTGCTTCCACTGCATCACTCTCTAGTTTGAGTTACATTTTTTTCTCAGCAGCCATTCTTAGACAGATCTAAATTATGATTATGTAGCCCATATTTCCCCCAAATACACCTTTAATATGTCCCTGATCAATTTATACAGGTGGATATGAAAACCATTCTTTTCGATACTAGCATTAAGAAAGCTTAAGCTCATGGATGCCTGCATTACGTAATTAAGTTCAGAAAAGACTGATTCCCTGCAGCCTGGCAAAGACACGCGCATGCCTGACTGCAGGGTTGGGCTGTGTCACTAGCGCATTCTGGGCTTTGGGAGTGTGATCATCAAATCAGTGCAGCAGCAGGAGCAGAGGGAGTCAAGATGCCTGTCACATCCACCTGAGGAATGGTCAGCAAGACAATGCAGCAACCCAGGTCAGTTCCCTCTGGGCCCTGTTGTGTATTTAATAGATGGATATCATTTTTGTACATTAACTGTTGGGATTAGAACATTATTCTATAGATATTAAGTCTTTGACTCTTAGGTATGAGATCAGAAACCTATCAGATCAAGACCTGGCTTCCTTTGTCCTTCAGTGTCATATTACCTGCACAGTACTGCACCATGTGCTCCCTCAATCTGTTCTATCACTTTATCTCAGGAATCTTCCAGGGTGAGCATTCACATTTTAAAGCCCAGGCAGCATTGTGGATTATTGGTGTTTGAGATTAAGAAACATAGACCAAAAAATGAGCATCCGTTCTGGTATAGGGATGTTGCACAAACGTAACATTCTTAAGAGGCATCAAATTAGGTGTCTGTCACACACTGTAGGATGTGAAGGGAAGAAGGTGTGTGAATCTTAACTTACATATTAGCAGCAGATTAGTAACACAACAGGTCAAGGTGGTATCCTCCTGCAAGATTATGAATGGTTTGGAGGATCAGATAAGTTTTATTTCTGATGCTATGATAATTACAATAAGGGAAAGGGTTTGCAAAGCAGTACCGAGTGGTACAGAGTGAATTGTGTGGTGTGTGTGTATATATGTGACTGTATGTGTGAGTGTATGTCTTCTACTTGAGTATCACAGGGGAGGACTGGGCATGTCATCAGAAGGATGGGTATATAGAAACATGTCATGTCTTTCCCATACAAATCTGTTATTCACAAGGTGGTACAGAATAATAAATGTTTGTCTATGATCATGTCTACTGATGTAGTTTAAATATTGTGAACGTCTTTTGGTTTCTGTATGTATTTTTTGATTATGTGTAGATTTAATTTTTTGAAATATTTTCCTGACATGACAATAGACTGACAAAATGCGAAAATGTAGTTTGTAATGTCATCTATTTCATATTTATAAGATGTGCAAATGCCATGTAAACTTTTTCTTCAGGATCTCACTGGCACTAAATCCTTAGGGTGTGTCCCAATCATGTTTGTTTATTTGGTCTTTGTAAGAGGGAGTGTAATTTGTTTTCCATTTCAAAATTACGTTTCAGTTAACCTTTTTGCTTTTTTTGATAATTGATTCTTTTCTTATGAAATATGTCATGAATATAGGTTTTCTTCCTCCTACTCCACCTAGTTCTTCCTCATCCTCAAGAGGGCCCTGTTAGGGTGTGTGTTGGTGCTATAAGTGGAGTCTGAACTGCTGCTCACTGCCCATGTTACAACAGGGGAGACGAAAGAACCATGAATGTTGAAACCTGAGGACTGTGCTGAGTCAGACTCGCTATACACTGCCCCTGGGATATCTCTCCCAGCCACTCCCTAGACTCTGCAGTATGGAAGCTGTCCAACACTCATGGTAAACCTTCCTTATACACCTAGGAGATATGTTCCCACTCCTCATTATGGGCATGGAAGAGATGGCTCCACCCTTCACCTGAGGGTTTCAGTCCCAGTGGCCAGCACTAGCGAACTCAGGTATCACCCACTTCATGGGTCTCAGGTTGTTGGAGCCTGCTCTAATGTGTTAGCTAGGGTAAAGAAATGTGATGCTAGGGTTGAGAAATTGCACTTAAAAGGAACTGTGGCAGAAACACAGGATAGTGACAACGTGGGAGAGGGAGTAGAGTATGCAAGCAGAGTAAGTGAGATAGATGTCCTTGTGCTGTAAGTTGAGAAATTAAGAGGTTCTGCACCTCTGACCGAGAAGAATGGCAGCTGTTCCTCAATCGGCTGCTACAATAGATGTTGGTTTTCTCTCTTTCCCCTATTTCCAGAGGCATAACTTAATATGGTTCTAAGAAGAGCTCTCCCTGTAGGTACTAGTTGGAGGATCTGTGCTGAAGGAAGGAAAGGCTAGAGATTTATTTAACCTGAATATCATAAGTGGAAGATGGTCTCAAAGAGTCACTGTGTAATTCTTTCCTCTTCCTCTTCAAACTGGACTTGTAAACATTATTGGGGACTGTGCTACTCAAAAGTTCCTCAAGTCTGTTTGAAGTAACCAACATTATTGATGGAAGGCATAAATTTCCTTTCAAAGTCATATTTTTATTTTTACTAATAATTCCCTTCCATGATTTAGTAATGCACAGGGCAGATTATCTCATTTGAAATAATAGTTAATATTTCCTTGTGGATTTCCCTATCTCATAGGTCTTTAACCTGCAGACAGTAATATTTTTAGGTCAATATTATGTTAAATTTATTGGAAGAATGGAATGCATGCATATTGAAAATTCCATTGCTGGGGGACTGGTGGTGAGTGCCTTAAATCCCAGCACTCTGAAGCTAGAGTCAGGTATTTCTCTGAGTACCAGGCCATCCTGGTCTAAAGAGCAATTTCAAGGACAGCCAAGATTATTATAAAGGGAAAACTTGCCTCAGAATCCAAAAATAAAATGAAATTCAGGAGTTTATCTAGATATTTATTTTTCTGAATACTCAGTAGGGATGTAACTTACCATAGCATAAAAGTAAATAGCAGATCTGGGGAGAAAGATAACCTGTTGAAAGCACTTAATGGTAGGAAAAAGGCTGAATTCCAGATCCTAGTTCTATCTCAGTAATATCATAACCACATATAATAATAAAAATTAGTTTTATTTGAATAGATATTACTATTTAACTTGATAGCACATGGCGGTACATTCAGCACTCAAGTAGCAGAAGCTGGAAGATCTGTTAGAATAACGCCAGCTTTGCAACAAATAGTATTCCAAGGACAGCATGGGCTAACAATGAGATTCTGTCTTGAATATTAATAAATAAACATGACATAGATAACATGGTAGGTAATTTTTTAAGTCACTAAGAAATTTTATCAATGAAAGGAATCCCAATAGTTTTATGAAAACAATAGTTATTATGTCCATGGTAAGACTTTCATGTTACCTTGAAAGTTTAAACTCCCTTGAAATTTTAAAAATAAGGAATGATTAATCCAGTTTAATACACAAGGTTTTTGAATGTCACATCTTTTAATTGTTAGTGATTTCTGTTGCTAGTGCATCAACGGTCCAGCATTTTGTACATTCTCTAGTTTGGGTTTTATTTTTTCTCAGGAGTCTTTCTTAGACAGATATAAAGTAGAACATGATTTGTGATTATGTAGTCCACATTGCCCCCAAAACCTCCTTGAAATTGTTTGTGATCAATTTATACGAATGATTATGAAAACCGTGTGTTTCAATACTGGCAATAAGAAAGATTATAGCTCATGAATGCCTGCATTGCGTCATTAGGTTCAGAAAAGATTGAGTCCCTGCAGCCTGGCAAACATGCACGGCATGCGTGATTGCAGGGTTGGGCTGTGTCACTAGCACATTCTGGACTTTGGGAGTGTGATCATCAAATCAGTGCAGTAGCAAGAGCAGAGGGAGTCAAGATGCCTGTCACATCCACCTGAGGAATCCTCAGCAAGACAATGCAGCATCACAGGTCAGTACCTTGTGGGCTCTGCTGTATCGTTAATAGATGGATATCATTTTTGTACATTAATTGTTCCAAATTGGTTGGGATTAGAACATTACTCTATAGATATCAAGTCTTTGACTCTGAGGTATGAGATCACAAAGCTATCAGATCAAGACCAGGCTTGCTTTGTCTTTTGCTGTGTCATGTTATCTGCACAATTCCACTCCCTGTGCTCCCTCAATCTGTCCTGTCACTTTACCTGAGTAGTCTTAAAGGGTGAGCATTCACATTACAAAGCCCGGGCCCCATTGTGGATTTTTGGTGTGTGAGGAAGCAAGAAATATTAAGCAAGCATTTGTGTTTTTTTATTTGGGCTTTGGGGGTGGGTTGTGATTGTACATTTTTTTTCATTTCAAAATGATGTTTTATTTAAATTTTTCCTTTTGTTGGTAATTGATTCTTTTCTCGTACAGTATATAATGATTACAGTTTATCTTCTCCTACTCCTCCCAGTTCCTCCTCATTCCCCTGAGGTTCATGTCTGGGTCTGTGTTGCTGCTATAATTGGAGTCTGCATTGCTTCCCATTGTCCATATTACAACAAGGGAGATGAAGGAACCATGGATATTGAATCCTGATAACTGTGATGAGTCAGTTCCACTATTCACTGACCCTGATTATCTCTCCCTGCCACTCCCTAGACTCTGCAGTAGGACAGCTGCCCAACCACTCTTGGGATAGCCTGTCTATATACCCAGGAGACATGTTCCCACCCCTCACTATGGGCATGGAAGAACTGACTCTACCCCTCGCCTAAGACTTTCAGTCCCAGTGGCCAGGATTAGACAGCTCAGGTACCACCCACATGATGTGCCTCAGGTTGTTGGAACCTGCTACAATGTGTTAGCTGGGGTAAAGAAATGGGGAGCTAGGACTGAGTAATGTCAGACAAAAGAAATGGAGAATGAAACACAGGATAGATTTGGGAGGAATGCCCAGTCCATGCCTTGCAGTGCTCCCTAGAGCCCCGAGTTTAATTTAGAAGTTGGTGATATAGAACCTAGACACACAATACCAAGAACAGTGTAATCAATTTCCCAGATCCCTGCACTGTCCTTGAATATAAGAGCAGCCCGACTCTCTATTATGTGAATCATGCTAGCAGCAAGCAGGTTATGTCAGCAGAGTGGCCAGTGTGTAGATACATGATGTTTAGTTCACATACAAATCTGTCGTCCATCCAGTAGTATAGAATAATAAATGTTTGTCTATGCTCATGTCTGGTGATCTAGTTTAATCATTTTGAATATCTTTGGTGTCTTTACACATTTTTTATATTTAATTTTTTGAAATGTTTTCCTGATGAGACAATAGACTAACAGTTTGAGAAATACATAGTTTTGACTGTCAACTATTTCATGTTTATGAGATATGCAAATGGCATAGAGATGTTTTCTTCAAGCATGCTCTGGTAGTGAAATCCATAGGATGTGTCCCATTTTTGTCTGTTTATTTTGACTTGTAATTGTGCTTTGGTTTTCATTTCACAATGATGTTTTA